CAAGCCATGCCCACGAGGTAGGGAGCGGTAGTTAGTTTTCTCCGTCCCGATATCGGGGCGTGAGGCTTGTGCCACGCTAAGAACAAGCTCGTCTCCATCGGTTTTATTCCGCCCAAGAGCGGCTAACAGCGCGGGAGGTTGGGCTGCGGGTCTCACACTCCCCGGAGCCTGCGGCCGTTACCTTGGTGCCCCCGAGGCGCAACACCTCCTCCAGAGAGAAGCCATTCTCGGCCTCATCGCTCTCCTCCTCGTCTGCCTCCTCCGGATCTTCTGTCACCGCTTTGGGACGCCTGGGTTGTTTGTCATGGAACGCTAAAGGTTCCCGGTCCGCCGACATTGCTGGCAGAACACGCGCGCGCAGCCCGCAACCCACTTCCTCTTCCAGCGACGCACTTCCGCTTATGTGGGCGTGTCAGGACGCATATCCTTCGTCTCCGCCCCCAGGGCGGAGCCTGGTCCGGTCGTGGTTGGGAATGAACGCTTTGGTGAGACGCGGAGTGGCCCGTGTGGGTAAGAGTCCTCGCAGCAGAATCTTGTCTCCATGGGAACCGTGTGGCGTGGCACCTCGGTTCGTCGGCTGTTTTCTGGGGCTGCAGCTGGAAGCTGGCCCACCGAGAGGCTTGGCCGTGGGGTAGTCGTGGGCGCAATGCACCGGGTTCAGACCCGGGCGAAGTCAGTGGTGAGCAAGGCTGCCTTGCAAGCTCTTGCAAGCTCGCGCGTGTGAATGAAACGGAGATTTCTAACGCGGGTGCTTAATCGTGCTTTTCAGGCATCCCCTGTATTTGGAGAGGGAAATGCTTCAGCTCCGGGAATGAGCCGGCAGAAAGCAACCGGGTGACGCCGATGCTGCGGCATCTTATGTATAAAATAAAGTCTACAGGCCCCATCTCTGTGGCCGAGTACATGAAGGAGGTTTTGACCAACCCAGCCAAGGTAAACGCAGGGGAGCGCGAGCCACGGAGGGTGTGTGCACAGAGGAGCTCCAAGGTCCTGAGGGCCGGCAGAGGATGAGTAATCTCCGAAATCCTTGGGATGTAGTTTAATCTGTCAGTTGATCAGGATCAGGCTGCGTTAATTCAAGGGCAGTGCCAATAAAGAGGCCAAGACAAATTTCTGTGTTGTTTAGGTGTGACAGAATGGTTGGAATTTCGTGAGTTAGAGATATTTTTCTGAGGAGATTGTCATTTCCCTGCTGGAAGGAAACGCTGTACATATCTGGTTGGCCTTGAACTTGCAGGAAGGGTCTTTCTGTTTTCTCTCCTGAGTGCTGGGATTCACTTTCCGACTGCCTGGTTGTCAGAAAGCTTTGATTGAGACCCAGAGAGTCATTCTTTTTGTTTTGTTTTGTTTGTTTTTGTGTTTTGAGACAGGGTTTCTCTGTGTAGCTTTGTAGACCAGGCTGGTCTCAAACTCATAGAGATCTACTTGTCTCTGCTTCCCGAGTGCTGCGATTAAAGGTGTTGGCCACCAGCATCTGGCCAGTGAATCATTTTTGAAAGTTAAGTGTATGGTCTAACTTGGGATATGAAGATAGTAAGACATGGTCTTCTCCCAAAATAATTAAACCTTCTAATCATAGTAATTATAGACATATAAAAAAAAAGCACTGGGTTTAGTTTGGGGTTGGAAGTCTTAGGAAAGAGAGGTCAGTGAAGATGTAATTGAGTAAACTAACTGATAAGGATGCCAGGAGAACTAAAAAGGGAAGAGTTTCGTTTTGGCATTGAAGTAGACAAGCAAGGCCAGTTAAAAAAAAAGAAAACCCACTTTTTTATTGATATACATTAATCATATAAAAAGTACATAAGTCACTGGCATATAATTGAAATAATTAAATATATATTTCACACACACACACACACACACACACACACACACACACACACACAGTCTTTGACACAAAGCACATTTATGTAAAAGTTGCACCATGGTCAAGAAACAGCCTATCACCAACAGCCAAGAGCTTGGGAGAGGAGGCTTCAGGGGGGTGATTAGAGTCTTCCTGTGTTGGACTTCGGGGGATGGGGGGGTGGGGGGTGGGGGTGTAGATATGAACATGGCTACACCCTTTCACATGAGTTTTGCAAAATGACTACTATCATGTAACATTTAGTAAAGACTGCCTTTATCTTGGCTATTTCAGAAGAACTTCCTTGGTAAATAGTTATATCACTGTATGTATTAATTAACATTTTGGATGAATAGTTTTGAAAGCTTTAGTTGAAACTGAATCTTTTCCATTTCCTCTTTTTCTCAGGGATATTATGTGCATCATGATATGCTTGGAGAAAAAGGAGACTTCATTACTTCACCCGAAATAAGTCAAATCTTTGGGGAGGTAATAACCAACGTGTAGACTGTAAAGTCTGCTAGCATAGCTTGTGTGTGTGTGTGTGTGTGTGTGTGAGAGAGAGAGAGAGAGAGAGAGAGAGAGAGAGAGAGATTCATCAAATATTTAAAACTTTTAGAGGGAATGGTGGAGAGAACTTTTGAAAAACCCTAGACTTCAATATAGAAAAAGAAATGGAGAGATGTAAAGGACAAAAGAAGATAGAAAAGGTTTAAGAAGTGGAGAACCATATACAATATGAGATTGGAAAGGGAGAGAAGGAAAAAGAAACATAGAACACAGTGATCTCTGGTACTGACAGCTGTGACTTAACCTTCTCACAGTGGGGTCTCTCTGTAAGAACCAGAACCATGGTTTATTTATTTCCCTAAAAGTAACTTTGATGACTTAAAAATAGGAAATTGTACATAAACAGAAGTGGAATCTAGGTCTGAGAGACATTAATTACAGCTAAGTGTAGTGTAATAATGTAGATCATGAGAGTAAGTAAAAATGGCATCACTGTAGTTCCTCTGTCCTTGTTTTCAAATGCAGGTACCTTTCTGTAAATGACTGCTTACCTGTGCCTTTTATAGAGGAAATGGGCTTAACAGCATCTTTTCTGATAATTAGCTTCCTATGCTGTGTATGTGTTGTGTGATTTCAGTGAAGTGTGTGTGTGTGTGTGTGTGTGTGTGTGTGTGTGTGTGTGAGAGAGAGAGAGAGAGAGAGAGAGAGAGAGAGAGAGAGAGAGAGCTATTCCTATTTAAAAACAGACAATTATTTGTACATGTTTTGCTTTTTGGTCTATTTGGTATGTATGTAGAGTTTTACACTGTGACACTTTAATGTTTTTTCTTGTCACAGCTACTGGGGATATGGTTCGTTAGTGAATGGATGACCTCTGGGAAAAGCACTGCTTTCCAGCTGGTGGAGCTGGGTCCAGGCCGGGGTACTCTCGCTGGAGATATTTTGAGGGTAGGTAATAAAAGATTGTCTCCAAGTCTTGTAAGTAGTCTTTCTGTCTTTGACTGAGTTTGGAAATTTCATCTATCTGGACTTTCAGCCCTACTTCCTAAATCTTGTATTTGTCAGCTAAGATGCAATGTTGGAATAATGTAATGGTTCATTTCTTATTGTTTGTAAGCTTAAAAAATGGGGGCTAAAAATAAAAAATGCTTGGGTGATGTTATTTATGCCTTTGAGTTGCTAAAAGATGGGTAAAAAGTACGTATTTTCTCTTTTTCCCCCCTCTATGTTCACAACAGTAAGAAACTGTTGTGTAGCAAAGAGAAAATGAAAATGTGTTTTAATCCCAAGGTCAGTCAAGTCACTGGTACCATTTAATTTGGTTCTGAGGATACAGTTTCATCATGTCCCAGACCTTTTTTTTTTTTTTTTTTTGAGACAGGGTTTCTCTGTGTAGCTTTGGAGTCCTGGAACTCTCTCTGTAGACCAGGCTGGCCTCGAACTCACAGAGATCCACCTGCCTCTGCCTCTCAAGTGCTGTGATTAAAGGTGTGCACCACCACTGCTTGGCAACATTTAAAAAACTTTTGATTTGAAACACTGTGTGACTGCTAAGTCTGTTCACTTTTGATAGTAAGTTGTTATTAGGAAGCCATGTTGTAGTTTATTTTGTATATAAATGACATTACCTCTAGTAGGTATGTTCTTACATGTTACTGGAGAACGACTCGGGTCAGGGTTAAATTTCTAAAATGAATGCTTTTGTGATACGACTAAGTGGTTGTGGTAATCAGTCAGAAACCCCTGACCACTTGACACATTATGTTTGCCAGTGTGTGGTGCATTGGCACCCATAAGCTTATATATTTGAATGCTTGGTCACCAGTTGGTAGAACTGTTTTGGAAGATTGGGAGACCTTGTTAGAGCAGGTGTGTCACTTGGCAGTGGGTTTGATGTTTCCAAAGCCCACACCAGGCCCTTTCTCACTCTCTGCCTCCAACTTGTAGATAAGATATAAGCCTGCTCCAGCATCATGTCTGCCTGCCTGCTGCCAGGAACCCCACCCCCACCATAATGGTCACAGACTCACCCTCTGTAATCAGTCCCACAGTTAGCACTTTCCTTTTGAAGTTGTCTTGGCTGTTGTCACAGAGATAGGACAGTAACTGAGACACAGTGTTCCCTTTTTCTTTTAGGTGTTCAGTCAGCTTGGGTCTGTGCTAAAAACCTGTGACATTTCGATACACCTAGTAGAGGTGAGCCAAAAATTAAGTGAGATTCAAGCATTGACACTGACTGAGGAGAAGCTCCCTTTGGAGAGAGATGCTGAATCCCTGGTATACATGAAAGGGGTCACCAAGTCTGGGATTCCAATCTCCTGGTACCGAGATCTGAAGGATGTTCCTAAAGGTATAACTTTCCATTGACTAAAGGCTCAGAACTCACAGCGGTGATAGCTGGCCCGCTTCTTGCTGCAGTTTAACAGTTACTGCTTCCAAGCCCCTTATTTGAAGTGAATAGCTAACTTTTCCTTTTCTAGCAAAAAAAAAAAAAGTTAGAATATTGCTGAATATTACACAATAGTATATTTCATGTTGTTTTATAGAAAGCAAACCAAACAAAAATCCAAAATGGAAATCTCCTCTGTACTTTGTAGTATTTCCTTTTAGTAAGGATAGCATTCATAATGAAATGGCCTATGATAAGTATTTTTGAATCCAAGATAGTGGGTTTCTCTGCTAACACAGTAAGTCAAATCAAACAGAATTAGTAAGACCAGGTTTAATCTGAGCAAAGCAACTCCTGGGTGATCTGGGATAGGGGAGTAGGAGAGAAATCAGGTGGCAGCTTCTAAGTACTCTGTAGGCGTGGTCTTGCGCAGCTGGGGTAGGGGAACCAGCTCTTAGTGGGTTTTCTGAGGCCATATTTGGAATGGGAGGAGTGGGGCCTGAGTTCCCAGCTGAACATCTATCTGGGCAGGGTTTGGAATGTCTCCCACCCCAAGCTGGAGATTCCCAACAGCCCAAAGCAGAATGGGCTGAAGAAAGTGGTAGTAGATGGGTTTAGTTATTAATCTCTTGAAAAATCTTTACTTGCCCAAAGGCAAGTGAGGTGTGGGGGTAAAACACCCTGAACTAGTCTAGAGTCTTAGACAGCATGGAGGTAAGATCTCCAACAAGACACCCAAAGCCGTTTCTGACCTTAGCTTTCTCAGATATTTAAAGTTCACTTCCTTTCCAGCTAACACATTTGAGTCTCTTCATTTTTAGGAACTTAGTAATGAAGAAAAGAGTTAGCTGATCATGGGGTATTTCCGTTCTCAGGTCATTATGTGGAAACTGAGGCTTAATTGTTCCTTTTGTATGCTGTTCACAGTGAGTTTTCCATAGAGCCTCGGTTCTCAACCTGTGGGTCTCGACCCCTTAGGGGTTGAATGAGCCTTTCACAGGGGTCACATATCAGATCACCTGCATATCAGATATTTACAATGTGATTCATAACAGTAACAAAATTACAGTTATTAAGTAGCAAAGAAAATAATTTTATGGTTGGGAGTCACCACATGAGGAACTGTCTTATAAGGTTGCAGCATTGGAAGGTGGAGGACACTGCCATAGAGGACAGCATGGCAGCGTCCCAGGCTCCAGTGCTGAAGAATGGATTGGGCACCTTCTTTTTTATGGCTAATGTTCAATAGAATTGTTTTCAAATGCCGAATCACTAATTTTCTTGTATTTTTAAATAGGATACAGCTTTTATCTCGCACATGAGTTTTTTGATGCTCTTCCCGTGCATAAATTTCAGGTATTGATGGAAATGTCATGTTTGTGATTAAGCGAAGCTATGCTAGTAGTGAGCTGGACAGTGCTTATCCCCTGCTTGTTCAAGTTAGTGTTATGTGGGATTTTCATAAGTATGAATGATTGAGAACCAAACATGAACCATCACCCAGAACCTTTATTCTCCTGGGAAAATGACTATGATTCTTAGTTTTGGGATGAAGATGTAAGAGAGCATATGAAGGTGAATTGCTGTGTTACTGAGGATTTATTTGGGCAAGTCTTTCATCTATGGCAACTCCTAAAGCTAAGAGTAAATCTCATGTAATGGGGTCATTTGTTCCAGGTCATTTGCTTGCTGTTTGCCTTTCTGTGCAGCCCAGTGCTGCTTGCTTTCTTTGACAGCTCTATTTGTTATGGCTTCTTTAGAACATCACATTTTAAGAGGTTGCAAATATTTGTTTTTAATGTGTTTTGTTTAGAAAACACCACAAGGATGGAGAGAAGTGCTTGTTGATATCGACCCACAAGTTTCTGATAAGCTGAGGTTTGTCTTGGCACCTTGTGCAACCCCAGCAGAAGCCTTCATACAAGTACGAATTTGAATTTTTCTTTTGTTGCTGCACAGTCATCTAGCCTATTTCTTAGTTGTCATTTTAACTTCTTCCCAGTGGGAGTGCTGGCGGCATGTGACAGTAGTAGTAACAGTCACAGTACAGTCCAGACCTAGAATCAGGATGGGATGGAGGTAGCTCTTGCATGTCATCTTACTGCTATGGAGGAAGACAGCATTTGCCCAGCCAAGTGCCTCTCATGATAACTGTTGCCCTGTGATCTACTTTATAGGGAAGATTCCCTATCTGGAGGCAGGGTGGTATAGTAACTGCTGATTTACTGAACATCATGTTTTGCTCTGGGTGTTCATTAGGTACATGTTACTGTCATCACTGGGCAAGAGCACAGCTGTTGAGTCATATGGGAACCCAGACCTACTTTTGATCCTACACTGTGGACAGATTAACTGCTGCTTTCTGTTGCCCATAAGGAATGGTTTCTAAGAGCTTTCTATCTTTGGACTGTGCTTAGCTTTTTAAAAATATTTATTTTAATTTTCTATATAGGTGTTTCACCTGCATGTCTGTGTGGGTGTGCCAGTTCCCTTGGAACTGGAATTATAGATGGTTGTAAGCTGCCATGTAGGTGCTGGGGATCACACCAAGGTTCTCTGGAAGAACATCCTGTGCCCCTAACTGCTGAGCCATCCCTTCAGCCCTAGGACTATGTTTAAAGGTCCCCAAACAGCATGTTCTTCTCAGGAATATCTGACTTTCACAGTGCCTCCATTTTATTCCCTCTTCTCTGCCCCAGAAAAATGTTTTACTTTCTAGCTCTTAAGAATTTCCTAAAGTTTTCAGTTTTAAAAACAAGTTTTTGAAAACATACCTACTTGTTTTCTTTACAAAGCGTAAATTGGAACATCAGACTAAACACTTGGGAGCAGTTTTCATATTCTAAGACAAACATATTTATAAGGCTACCAAAGTTCCATCTCCTCCCCCTGAGGTCACTTCACTGGGAGTAGTCTTTTCCAGTTCTTTACTTGATTAGCATTCTCTAGAGAGGCTTGGGATCTCCTTTGAGTGGTGCCTCACCTGTCATACCGAAGATCAGTCTGAGGTGGTATGGGTATCAGCAGGGTTACCTGAGGCTTGCTGGAAGAGTCTCATGAGGCTGGCTTTGTGATTTTTGTAGCTATTCTGGTTTATCTAATATCATTAGGGCTAAACATTTATTATTTTACTGAATCCCCACTGTCGACCTCAGTGTATGTTTTATCAGAACACAGACAGAAATCTTTTCTGTCACTGAGCAGTAGGAATTGCTGAGGTCTAACCCTACACCAAGTCTGTGACTCTACATCTCTTGAGCCTGCCCCGTCATAGGCAGAGACATCACTGTAGGTTATTACTCTTTTCAGAGTGTCAGAGGGAGTAAAGGGTGGTGGTTTCCATAGTGAAGATGATAGCAGAGTTTCACAAGCTAGTCATGCTGTTGCTTGCAGTAGATGCAGGGCACCACTGGAATGTTTGCTGCCTGCACAGAAGGCAGCACAGTTGCTGAATCTGATTTAATCGGGTTCTTAGAAGTGGTATTTTTGATAATATCTTTTGAGTCCCTGTTAATGTTAGGTGGCATTTCCTCATGTATACAACCCAATGAACTATGTTTTCTTATATTAATATGGGAAAGTGCTAATATAATAAAGTGATACTACTGCACTTGACCATGTGGGAGGTTCAGAGTACATGTGCTTTAAACAAATAAAATATTGGAATGCCTACAAACTTAATGTCCGGCATGAAAGAACCATGTTCTGTATAATGAAAGGGATGTCATGGGAAACACTGTCTAAACCATGTTCACACTGAACTCGTCATAACTAAGAAATGTTCAGCTTGTAGAAGTGTGCAAAACTCTTAAGGAGACAGTTCTTTCAAGTGATGTATTATGATTCCCTTACCAGCATGATGAACGAAGGGACCATGTGGAAGTATGTCCTGACGCTGGGATTATTATACAGGAACTTTCTGAACGAATTGCATTAGCTGGAGGCGCTGCCCTGATTGCCGACTACGGCCATGATGGAACAAAGACAGACACCTTCAGAGTATGTGTCACACGGGACATGCTTCATCAGAATTTCATTGCTAGATCTGAAGTTCGCTGAAGAGTTGTCTTAGCTTGCTTTTTATGGTGTCTAACTTTGTTGTATTCATTTTAGAATTAATGTTAGTTATGCTGTTATAGTTACACAAAATTCTGAATCTTACCATCATTCTTCCTTAGTCAGAGCCTAGATATGCATAGAGCCAAGGAAACATTAGAATACAAATTTTGGGGAAAGATTTTCTTCATATTAACATTTCTTTTTTTTTTCCTGTTTTCTTTTTTTTTAATGCACTAGATGTGATTTTTTTATTTGAATTACAAACAAGATTGAATTACATGACAATCCCAGTTCCATTCTCCCTCCCTTCCTCCCCTACCACCCCCCAACTAAAACCCTACCTATCACATATCCTTTCTTCTATTCTTCACCTGACTCAACCTTTCTGCTCCCTCATGACCTCTGCATCCTTCCTCTTCTTCCCTTCTCATTCTCGTAGCTCCCTCCCCCCTCTTCCCATGCTCTCAATTTGCTCAGGGGATCGTGACCCTTTCCCCTTCTCCAGGGGACAAAGTTTGTCTCTTTTAGGGTCCTTCTTGTTTACTAGTTTCTCTGGCAGTGTGGATTGTAGGCTGGTAATCCCTTACTCTATGTCTAAAATCCACATCTGAGTACATATCATGTTTGTCTTTTTGTGACTGGGTTACCTCACTCAGAATGGTTTCTTCGAGTTTCATCCATTTTCCTGCAAATTTCAAGATTCCATTGTTTTTTTCTGCTGAGTAGTACTCCATTGTGTAAATGTACCACAATTTCTCTATCCATTCTTTGGTTGAGGGGCATCTGGGCTGCTTCCAGTTTCTGGCTATTACAAATAATGCTGCTATGAACATGGTTGAACAGATGTCCTTGTTATATGAATGTGCTTCTTTTGGGTATATGCCTAGGAGTGGAATTGCTGGATCTTGTGGTAGACTGATTCCCATTTTCTTGAGGAGTTGCCATACTGATTTCCAAAATGCCTGTACAAGTTGGCACTCCCACCAGCAGTGGAGAAGTGTTGCCCTTTCTCCACATCCTCTCCAGCATAAATTGTCATTGGTGTTTTTGATTTTAGCCATTCTGACAGGAATAAAATGGTATCTCAGAGTTGTTTTGATTTGCATTTCCTTGATGGCTAACGATGTTGAACACTTTTTTATGTGTCTTCCAGCCATTTTACATTCTCTATTGAGAACTGTCTATTTAGTTCTGTACCCCACTTTTTAATTGGATTGTTTGTTGTTTTGGAGATTACCTTCTTGAGTTCTTTGTAAATTTTGGAGATCAGCACTCTGTCAGATGTGGAGTTGGTGAATATCTTTTCCCATTCTGTGGGCTGCTGTTTTGTCTTGCTGACTGTGTCCTTTGCCTTACAGAAGCTTCTCAGTTTCAGGAGGACCCATTTATCAGTTGTTGATCTCAATGTCTGTGCTATTAGTGTTATCTTCAGGAAGCAGTCTCCTTTACCAATTAATTCAAGGGTATTCCCATCTTCTAGTAGGTTCAGTGTGGCTGGGTTTATGTTGAGGTCTTTGATCCATTTTGACTTAAGTTTTGTGCAGGGCGAAAGGCTTGGGCCTATCTGTAGTCTTCTACATGTCTGCATCCAGTTATGCCAGCACCATTTGTTGAAGATGTTCTCTTTGTTCCAGCATATATATTTGGATTGTCAAAAATCAGGTGTTAATAGGTGTGTCAGTTAATATCAGGGTTTTCAACCCTATTGGTCTACCTGTCTATTTTTATGCCAATACCAACCTGTTTTCAGAACTATAGCTCTGTAATAGACCTTGAAGTCAGGGATGGTGATGCCTCCAGAAGTTCCTCTATTGTACAGGTTTTTTTTTTT